AGCGCCGTTCGCAAAGAGACCGAAAGTTGAAGGCGGACAATCCTCTTGGCCTAAGAACATTAAGATAGTGCACCTGGTCTTCCGTGAGAGCTTTAACGCGCGGCACAATAAATATAGTGACCGGTTTCTTCTAGAGAAGAGGGGCCATCGATCACTGGCGCTGCTTCATACATAACAGATCTCCATAGTCAGTTGGTAACGAAACGGAGACATCTTCACCTTAGAAAAAGATATCTATGGCTTTTTACTGTTCTTCTTGAAATGTCTCTGTCCCAAAAGTCGCACAAACTTGCCTTAAAACCTCGTCGTAAATCGCTGTTGTCTGAAAAGTTGACCATGAGAGCATTTTGTTCACCTCGTCAGTTAGTATGAATAAATTACCGACTGCAGCAAGTCAGAATTGACGAAAGAATCGGCAAAAGGGGTTAACCAATAAAAAGATATTATATGTTTTCTTTTCTGATGTAAATGTCTCTTTTATTTCAATACATTTGAAGAGCTGGCGATCACGAGAGTGAAGGCGATTGAACCATTTCCTGTTGAAGGTTTTAAAATAGCAGTATTGTAATGCACATCACGTGATGAACAGCCTTGCCATATTTGGATATTTGGATATCTGGTTCACCTTCGCATTTCTGCTGAAGATTACGAAACTTGACTACTTTTGTCATGTTCAGTGAAGATTCAGGAGCTTCACTCATCAGTTCTTGAAACTTCGATTTCTAAGCCGGTAAGTTTCATCACTTCTTATTCTGTCTCAAGAAATCGAATGGAACGCTCAGACGATTTTTGCAAAGTACTTTGCATTAATACAATAGTCTTAATGCTTGTCTGTTCAAACTGCTAATATTACAATCGATAAATTCACCTTTTTCTCAAAACTCTTAAAAAATTTTGTTCTTGAACAATTTTAAAGGTCAAAAACTGATTTTAAACGAAAAATAGATCGAGAAAAGGGAAATTAATGGTGATTCACTTTGAGCACAATATGCCCACGTTCTCTCGCTGCAACTGACTGGGTTGTAACAGAAGATTCTTTTTTCTTAGACTAAGTTGAGAAGTTATGCATTGCTTCCTCAATACAGTAGAACCTTGCTAACTCCTACCTGATCAAATCGAGTTCCCCGCTAACTCGAACAATATCGATTGGGTTTGAACAAGGTTAACTTGAAGTAATTTTACTTCTCGGCACAAATTTACCTCGATATCTTGATTTTCGTCAAATTGCCAGAACATAACTGATTGACACGTCTCAACCTTTAATCGCGATCGATTTGAACGCGGGACCATGTATGTAAACGTTACACATTTAATTAAACTAAGAACACGTAAAAGTTCTTAAAAGTGACTGTTGATTGTGCGAGAATGGAATATAGTGTACATGATTCGTAATTAATATCGACAGGATGGTTGAAATTTAACACCAATCCCGATAACTCGAACTTCGCTAACTTGAGCCGGTCTAGCTTCCCTTAAGAGTTCAAATACAGGGATTCTACTGTAAGTTGGTTACTAAAACAGTAGGTAGAAGTGTGAAATTACACGGTTATTTTATTCATGATTACGAACGTAAGTTATATGCTCTGCTGGGTCGAGTAAACAAATTGCAAACTAGATCTAACCATGCAGTGTTACTTTAAAAAAGGAATTTCAAATTACCATTCGATGCATACTAAATATAAGAAATCGAGTTCAGAAATGATTTCTGTAGACTAGTGCCGGCTATATTTGTTGTTTTTCAGACCAATTTCAAGATAAGACATTGATTTTTATGGCCTTCATGTGCCCAGTGTTGCGGAAATCGAAGAAAAGAACGGTGAACCACTGTTTTATATGTGAAGTGTTGCATTTACAAATGTCTTTTCTTCCCTTCAAATGTTTTAGATTACAATTTTGATCTTATGAAATAACTCCATAACTTGTGAAAATGACGAACTGCATGAACTTTAATTTTTAATTAGAATTCGAACATTCTAGGAAACGTTAATTAATCGTATTCATTTGACGTCAGTCGAAGAATGTAGATTCAATTAAATTAGATTTTATTTTCACGCGAGGCCAGCGAGGGCGAAAAAACCTGACAAGTGACTGCTGTTCTCATAACCCAGCAAACCCATTTCATAAGAAACTAATCTGGATTTGGTTGAAATAAGAATTAGTGGGCTTTTGGTCGTACTAACTGAGATCTTAGCGTAGTCTCCGACTTGAAAACAGCGCGCACGCCTTGTTGCTGTAGGCAACGGCGAAGCTGTTCGGACAGACCTTTGACATTAAGTAAAACCGCAGTAGCTTTGAACTCGTCGGCGGGTTGGGCACTGTTGTTTGGTTTTCCGGTCTCGGTAAGTTTCTGCAAGGAAGAAAAAAAAAGAAGATCCTGTGTTTAGACTCAATTGAGAAATTATGCATTGCTTCCTTAATACAGTAGAACCCTGCCTACTCGAACTCTGTTAACTCGAATCCCCTGCTAACATGAACAAGATCCGATATCCCTTGGATTTGACCCGATTTTCATAATAATTTACCATCAGCTAACTTGAACTTGGTTAACGCGAACTCTCTGTCAACTCGAACTAATTTTGTTTTCCCTTGGCTCAAATTTATCCTGATAGCTTGAACTTTTAGTGAACACGTCATTCGATAAATGTCATGATCAAAGTGTCATAACATTGCTGGTTAACACATGACAACCTTTAATCCTGATCGATATGATCATGATAACATGTCAGAAAACATAACGCATTCAATAAAATGAAGGTTTCCCAAAAGTAACTGGAACAGTAGGTAGATGTATAAAATCATATGCATATTTCAGTCATCATTACGGATTTTAGCATAGCAAGTAAATTTGTCTAATCAAATTCAATTGCGTGTGCGTGCTTCATATTCCAATTGTGCACGCTCAGGACATCAGCAAACAACTCCTTCAAGAAAAAACATTTTCTCCGCGATTTTTTACTTTTGTTTTTCTTTCGAATAAGATAATTTTGTATTCATTTACATGCATGAATTCACCTGTCAGTTTTTTTACCAATCTAAGACAAGATCGTTTACAGCGTAGCGAAATGTATTCCTAAAACAAAATCATCAACGCACTGAAGCGTAGCAGGGGGAATATTTACCCTTTCACAACATTTAAACCATTGGGTTGAAAATGTTATAAAAGAATTGGTTCATACGTCAGCCGTGCGTTCATCGAGATATGAAGCACTTGGGAAGTTTGGAGAGCACTCAAGAAGCCAGAGTGCTCTCCAAACTTCCCGTGTGCTTCATATCTCGATGAACGCACGCTGACGTATGAACCAATTGTTAATTTAAGTTACACCCTCCGCCAGGTCGAGTAAACAAATGACAAACAACATCTCATAAGAGCTACTTTATGAAAGGACTCTTAAATTATTGCTTGATTCCTGTTGTTTAATGCCAGCTATCAATTGTTGGTTCTCAAACATTTTTTTGCTGTTTGGACATTGCTGATTATGGCCTTGATTTAACAAATAGAGAAGCCTTGACTGTGCTCTGTTCTGTTATAAAGCACGCAGGAAGCGGCTAGAGCACGAAAGAAGTGTAGGGAGAAACACGAGACGTAGTCGAGTGTTTCTCCCCACTTCTTGAGTTAAATTCCCCATGTATTACTTTCAATTTTCAAAACAAACTTTATTTCCAAAGCGAAGAACAGTGTCGTCAGCATGCTCTATACTCTCATAGAGCACGCTACAATAAGCCAATCAGAATCCCTGTTAGAATGGTTCAAATAATCTGATTGGCTGTACAAGACAAAAGCTGTCAAAAGTGTCAAACCATCAAAGTTCAAAAACCATCAAAGTTCACACTCTGCGATAGTTTACAAACTAAAATAATTCGGCAAGTCGAATTTAACGCTTTTGCCTGAAGTTTTTAATTCAGAATCCTGAAGTGAAATGTTCAGTGAACTTCAGCCGAATTATGGCTCATAAAAACACGCGGGTTTTTTCACATGACAAGGTAGAAAACAAACTGTTCAAGGCGAGTGTCTTTTAAATGATCGACAGCCGAATTCACCGGAACATGAAGATCGCTCGGGATGACAGCGCCGCAAAACTCGGCTGCAGTGACTGAAGTGACTTTCCACTCAACACATTGGAAAGGATATCAGAGCGAGCTCTTATTTTTTCACTCGAAGGGCGGCATGATAAGTGAGCCGCGATGGACTTCAGCATGATCATATTTGCTCAGACACCGTCATGATTAGTATGAATTTTAACAATTATGCCAGTTTGGTTATATTTTTCATCATTTCTGTTTTGTTCTGTTTTGTTTTTGAACTCTGAACTTTATATACTATACGAGTGTTGGCTGTGTTTGATTTTCATTACCGTACGTAAGCTTGCAATCTAACCGAGCGTGAAAATCTTTAAAACTCGGAATGTCTATTTTGTTTTTCCTTTGAGGATTTCCGTATCTGCCCACGTTTTAATAACGTAAAAAACGGCGCCTGGTATGTTTACAAACCTTTGTTTGGTTCTTCTGTTACTACTTGCCGGCTCGCTTGTTCCGAAATTTCACTTTCAATTATCGGAAAAAAGCTGAAAAGAAGTCCCGGAAAAGGTCGAACATGGTACAATTTGGCAGATGGCGTGACAGCTTTAGCTCAGTTCTATGCTCTATACTCTCATAGAGCACGCTCTTTCAACCAATGACAGCGCGCGTTATATCCGAACTTTATTATAAATGGCTAGTGATGCGGAGATGGAAAAAGAGAATGGCAACTCATTTTTTTAAACGTGACAGATTGCATATCTCCTATAATTTTTTCCCTTACAAAGCTTTAAATTTCAATTTGGATCTTATGAAATGAATCTTTATATTATAAAAATGATGTATTGTGAGCAGTTTTTTTTATTTGAATGTGATCATTCTAGGAAATGTATATCGTGTTGGCGCCGTGCTGAGTTAGTCTGCATATCCTCAGTCATTTCCTCGATTTTAAAGATAGGAAAAAGGTGAGGTCTGATGAGAAAGAAATGGCACATTCGAGTGCATCATCCAACTCTAATTTTGTTATTGCACATGATTTGAGACAAGACCGTGAGAGAAAGGAAAATAAGTGCATCTTAGCTACTTGTGGGATATGGAAAGATTTTCATTTACATGGCGGCAAGTTCGTTGGCACCGGAAGCCTCGTACAGGGCCTCTTTCTCAAATTTGAAGAAAAAATTCATCTGGTCACAAGCAACAAGGTCATTTCACCTAATGATTATTTAAGTTACTACGAATTGTATTTCAAGAAATCAAAAGACGAAGAAAAAGAACCAGTGAAACTAAATAAAATGGCGTCGAACGAAGTGATCTTCAAATCAGGCCTTGCAATTGTGCTTATTGACCCAAAGAAACTTGGCTTCATTAGACAATATACTTCTGGTTTTGTGAATCACCGTCCATTTACCATACGCTTTAAAGAAAAGGAAGACTTAAGAAATGATGAATTATACTGTCATGTCGCTGAAGAATCTGGAAAGTCAATTGCCATAAGACCATACAAGGTGAAAGGGATTGCAGACGCAAAAACATATGTCACTGACCACAGTTCCATAGAGATAGAAAGTACTAGCTTTTGCAGCAGTTATCGAAAAGGCCTTGGAGCTCCAATTGCCATCACAGTCAAAGATGAGGCATTTGCTGTGGGTGCCATTACTCTCAGCAACAACAAGCAGCTTTCTTTTGTTCTGTTTTCACAGATTGATAGGAAACAGGCATTTTCAGGTTGGTAACTTCTCGTTTGTTCAGCATACGTGTTTATGCAAGGCATCTTTAAGGTCTTGAACGTTAGCAACATTTGCAATTTATTTATCTGGTTCAGTATCCTGGGAAATGTAAATTAATTTCCACAAAGGAGCTGGCCTACACTCTTAGACATATTTGTTGGGACATCTCTGCCTTCCCTGCCCCTCTCAATGTTGGTTTGCAAGATGGTATAGACACATGATTGGCAATTGACAGCATTGGAAGGGGGAGAGGGGTAGAGGAACATCATAGATGTTTCTCTGTAGAAGTGTCGCAGCTAATGTTGCCCAGGAGTGCATTACCGTATTTACCCATTTATAATGTGCGCCCGTGTATAATATGTACCTTAATTTTTGACCTCTTTTGTCTAAAAAAAAAGACTTCAAGACAAACACCAAGAATTAAAACTTCCATTTTTCCATTTAATTAACAAGAGCTGGGAATTCATTAATAATATGTTTACAACATTTTCTAACTAGTTGCTACTACAAATATCGCACGCACCGAGCACCTATTTACAAGCTTCTCTATTCAATTACAGTCAAACGTTTTACAAATGTTGTAACTTGAAGTCCATATTAATATACCTAAATTCTCAACTTGAATTTTTATCATAACAGCAATTCATAAACATAATCTGTACTCACAGCACTGCTGGTAGCTTGAATATCATCACTGCATTGCGTACGATTTAAATAAAATGTTCAGTGTCTTTAGGCATAGTTAGTAGAGTCTCCTCTACTAACTATGCTTTAGGCAACGAAACCTTCAAATTCCGACTCGCAGTCCGATTCAAATAGGTTTTCGATGACTGTATCATCAATTTCATCAGTGATCTCGGTTAAATTGTAAACCAATCCATCTTGTGATCCATCCGAATTGTTTGTGATCCCACACTTCAGGAAAGAGGCAGCGATCATTTCTGACGGAATAGCTCTCCACGTTTGCGAAATCCACGAACAGATCAGCTCCTCCGAAGCCTTCTTTTATCGTCCAGTGGCGATAAATTCGTGAATTCCATCAGTCATCCACTGTTTTCAGACTCCATCTTTAAACGGTTTGTTCAAAGATACATCGAGCGGCTAGAGAAGGGAAGTTAGCCCACCAGGAATCACGGCAAGTTCAGTGTTCTCGCGTTTGAAGGATGCGTTTACAGTATTTGTCACGTGAGCTTCAAATGAGTCGTAATTAAGCAAGCTCTTTCTCCTCCCCAGGCCACCAATCCGCGCAATTTTACTTTTGTTGTTTTTTTAAGGTATGCAAATTAGGACGTGCTTGACAGAATACGTGAATAATACGCACCGCGATTTTGATGATTATTTTTAACGAAAAAAGTGCGCATTATACACGGGTAAATACGGTATATTGCTGTTGATTCTAGTCCATCGTGGTAACTCTCTCAGAAGAGTTCCTGTGTCTGTGAATGGTCGCTCTCTATCTTTTGGACGCCTCTCTTGAAACTTCAGCTAGCAACCTAATTTCTTAGTTACAACCCTGCTACAGACACAACAGGGATCCAAGGATCCAGCACATCTCTTATTCCAGAGGGTAGCACATCCACATTCAATCGTAGCTCTGGTTTGACAACAGTGTTGACTGAGTGATCAGGAAAATGTATGTAAGGATACAGAAAGGATAATAGCAAGATAGATTTAATCAGACCCAAAATTATTGTACGTTCCAAAATGTGATTCATCATTTTCCTTTTGGAAGGCAGAAATTTTCCCGATAATTTTTCTTAAATGGCCAACTGCTTTCAATTGATATTTCCCATGCTAAATGGCCACAGAGATTTCAATTTTCTCATTTTGTGTGCAAAAAACCAGATGAAGGAAATGGAGGAGGTGGAGAACAACAGGCACCAGGGGAACCAGCAGAAGGAGAAGAGCAACAGCCACCAAGGGAACCAGCAGGAGGAGAAGAGCAACAGGCACCAGGGGAACCAGCAGGAGGAGAAGAGCAACAGGCACCAAGGGAACCAGCAGGAGGAGAAGAGCAACAGGCACCAAGGGAACCAGCAGGAGGAGAAGAGCAACAGGCACCAAGGGAACCAGCAGGAGGAGAAGAGCAACAGGCACCAAGGGAACAAGATGGTAATGTATAATGTAATGGAAGATTTTCCACCAGTAACTAAAGGCGTAATTTCATTCAATCAGTGATGTATATATGTAAGATTTTATGCCACTTACTAATAACAAAATTTCTTCTAGTTGGCAGTGCATTTATGGAAGATTTTATGCCAGTAACTAATGGTGTAAATTCCTCCAGTTGGTATTATATGTAATGTAAATTTTACATCATTAATATAATTTGATTAAATATTAATTTATAATAATTAATCTACTGATGCAGATAGTGGCATAAAATTGTACAGTCTCGAGAAAGTGTTTAAGTGACATATTACGCGGTTATATATATTCTCAGTCTTCACCAATGTATTCACAATGAATGCCCATTGCAAAAAAATTTTGCAGTAGTCTGACAGAATTTAGGACTGCCTATTTAGTCCAAATTTTATAACCAAAATCTTGTGATTACATATTTATAGTATACATGACCAAACTATGTGATAGCTTTTAATAATTATTTAGAGGAATTGCATGCAGAATAATCTATTCAAACCCTGCATGTAATAGCTAAACAATTTGTCAAATTTTTAACACTTCTTAAGAAACCTATTTTTAGCGTTGAAGTACATGTACCTCTTCACTGTGTTGTTACCTGAAAACTTCATTTCTCTTTGCTAAATCAAAAGGAAGGAATTTTTTGCTGGATATATTTCGGAAGCTCACATGTTCTGCATTGATTATTCAATTTGCAAGTTAGCAGCTGTTTGTAAATGCTACAAGTACAATTATAGTCTTATGGAATGTAACAAATTTACATTTAAGGAAACTGGTAATCCAAGGCTATAAGTTGGAGGTGATGGCCATTGTTATTAACAGTAATACCAATTTGTGTACTGCATGGGTATTATTTAATTGGGAGATTGCTGTGTGATTTCAGGTTTTAGGCAAAGGAACACTGGTGTAGAAGCCCTCAAATAATGAGGACCTGCAAGCAGACTATTATCTAATACGTTTAATGAAAATTTTAATGTGATATTAATGGTTTCAAGTGGATTTGAAGTTTAATTTTAACTTAGACACTTTGCTCTAAATCAACAGGTCAAAACTTAAATATCGGAGTGGCCCACATGGCACCTTCAGATCCTAACGCTTACAGTACAACTGTAACGGAAGTCCTGTGCATAATTGTTCGGAATTACTTTGATCATACACCACCACGGAACAGGGAAGAACGTAATGAGTTTGAGAAACACTTAGAAAAAGTAGGGACCCTTATTACAGGTGTTAAGTTAGGAAGTTTGGTGATAACAGTAAAATGTGATTCTCTCAAGAGCTTGGAGGAATTATGGAAAATGTATTCATGTGGCCATTTGGGTAAGATGGTTCAAGATTGTTTTGTGACGGAAAAGATCTTGAAGGAACTTAACTTGGCAGAACTGAAGCTGAAAACAACGATGGACTTAGAAGAGTACAATGCATACAAACTGTACTTTCTTGAGAAGGATGCACTCAAAGGTCAGTTGAAAGAAAGAAAAAGGCCTGGTCTTTGAAAAAATATTTTGAAAGGATTAAAAACACAATGCATCACTCATTCAACATGGTGCACAATAGGATTAACACCCATGTAGAGGTCCAGGTTTTGATCAAGGTAGAACCAATTGTCTCATGAATAAGCTCTCATGACTTTGTAATTAAGTCATGAAAATCTGCAGCTAGAAGTGATTTGTTTTCAAGATATTTCCTATATTTTCCTTTCTGTCTGGTTGTGTTTATCTTTGCTCCAAATATGAATGAAGTAAAACAAGCTAAAATATAAAATGGCAAGATTTTTGTTGGAGGAGCTACAAAAGAAAATGTTACCCATATTTGTGTTTGGGGTTTTTAAAAACAATTTGAGGTGTGTTTTATAGGTTTAAATGTCAGTGTTCAATGATTGCCTCATTATTTGTTTTCATTGAAATCTGATTTTAGGTGCCTCATCTTCTGAATTCCACTCCATAAGTTCAACCAGTGAAAGTCCACAAAATCAAGAAGAGCTGAAAAAATGGGAACAGAAGACAAAGATTGTTGAGACAGAGAAAAGAAAAGGTGAAAACAAAATTAAGAGAATTATTAAGTTGTTGTGGAGAGTTGTTGTGATCAACAGCAATAACAATTTATTATTTGAAAAAACTTTGAAGAATGATCTCAATGCAGTAATGTGGCATTAGTATTATTTTAAGAGTACAACTTATGGGGAACAACTTATAGCATATCTGCAGAGAGGCTGTGAATACTAATCTCTCCCTGTACTTTTTGTTCTTAAATACGTCACCCCTCACTGTAATACCCACCACTGGTTATAGAAAAGAACTTATAGGAAAAGCACAGGGAAGGAAAGGTGAACTGGAAGCTCAGTTTGAATTAATATCTGTAGTGAATATGTTCAGCAAGTTCAGCTATAATGTCAAGTGTAAAGAAGTGTGCTTTTGGGATTAAACATTTAAGTTTGCTAGAGTCTGCAGGGTAAAACCAACCAATTATTTGAAATACTCTCAATTCTTGATTTAAAAGATTAAGTAAACTTGAAAGAAATTAAAACCCAATTTAGTTTCCCCTAAATTTTGTATTTAGGATAAATTTCATGCATTTTATGGAGATGGTCACATGACTTGTTGGTTTGCCGTGTTATCATCTCTCAAATGAAACTAACACCTTGAATACTAATATTGCTGTAAATAATGTAAAATAGATAAATGTAAATTACTCCAAATATGATTGTGCCTCATTCTCTACTTATATTAAAGGGAATTTGAGTTGGTTTGTGGAATTAAAACAATAATTGTACTGTATGTATGTATTTCAAATGGATGTTTTGAACAGCTCTTTTAAATCTATCCTTAGAGCTACAGGTTGGTGTGCCTGTTTCAAACTATTTATCAGGAGAAATGCTAATCTCTCTCTGTATAACTTTGTTTTTAGGCATGTTGCCTCCCCTTGGATCTTCCACCTCTGATCCTGAAGAAGAACTAGAAGAGCTACGTATGAAACTTCAAACTATGAAAGGTGAATGAAAAAGTGCTGTTAAATTGACTTTGATGGTAAAACTAAACCAAGAATGCTTTTACATAAATTTAGTTCTCATTCGCAATATTTTTTTGAAAAGGAAATTACACCCAATGTAGTTTTCCGTCACTCTGTGTTTTGCTATAAGAGAAAATTAAGATAGTAGAGGCTAGGTTGGTGAAACAGCATATAATGATAAACTTAGTTTTTTTAGTGTTGATCTTAAATTATGCCTTAAAAACTGACTGTGGTGTAGTGTAGATAGATTTTGTACATCAAATACAATCAGTTAATGGCATGTTGGTTTGACCTGTTATCATGTCACTATTAAAAGTAACACCATGAATTCCTCTTTGTACTTTTCCCCTTAAGGTTGACTTCCATTACTGTGGACACCCTTGGGGGGAGATTTAGTGTAATAGCAAAAAGTTTGTAATAATGGGGTACAAGAGAAATAAACATTTGTTTTGTTTCTTAACATATGACATAAAGTTTCCACAAACCAGAAAAAGATCTGGCTGTAAGCAGAAAATTTCATATGTTCACACCCAATTGAAGAATGGTTTCTTTATTTCCCTTTTTCATAATGTTGGTTCATAGTATGCTAGTCATGATTTTGGACAAAGTAAATAAGTGTCTGTTATAGCAAGAGAAAAAACAAGTGAAAAGTCATGCTGGGGGGTAGGAAAGAGTCTGTATTATTGCAATAGCAAGAGTCTGTTATAGAGGGAATTTATCAGTCATTTCTGTATGTTTCTCCAGGGGCTGACTCTTGTCTGCAGTGGCAAGGTGTCTGTAATAGTGAGGTGACTGCAGGGCTAGAGTCAACTGTAGATTAATCCAAATTTGGTATTGTCATTTCTTTTCTGTCTGGTTGTATTTATCTTTGGCTCCAAATATAAATAAAATAAAACAAGCTAAAATAAAAATTGGCAAGATTTTAGTTGAAGGAGCTATAAAAGAAAATGTTACCTGTATTTGTGTGTGGGTTTTTATAAAAATGATTTGAGGTGTGTTGTATGGTTTTGAATGTCAGTATTTAGTGATTGCCTCATTATTTGTTTTCTTTTAAATCTGATTTTAGGTGCCTCATCTTCTGAATTCCACTCCATAAGTTCAACCAGTGAAAGTCCACAAATTCAAGAAGAGCTGAAAAAATGGAAACAGAAGACAAAGATAGTTGAGACAGAGAAACTGAGAGGTGAAAACAAAATTAAAAGACATCTTAAGTTATTATGGAAAGTTGTTGTGAACAGTAATAACAATTTATTATTTGACAAAACTTTGAAGAATGATCTCAATGCAGTAATGTGGCATTAGTATTATTTTAAGAGTACAACTTAATTATGGGGAACAACTTACAGCATATCTGAAGAGAGGTTGTGAATACTAATCTCTCCCTGTACTTTTTGTTCTTAGATACATCACCCCTCACTGTAATACCCACCACTGGTCATGGAAAAGAACTTATAGGAAAAGCACAGGGAAGGAAAGGTGAACAGGAAGCTCAGTTTGAATTAATATCTGTAGTGAATATGTTCAGTGAGTTCAGCTATAATGTCAAGTGTAAAGAAGTGTGCTTTTGGGATTAAACATTTAAGTTTGCTAGAGTCTGCAGGGTAAAACCAACCAATTATTTGAAATACTCTCAGTTCTTGATTTAAAAGATTAATTTGAAAGAAATTAAAACCCAATTTAGTTTCCCCTAAATTTTGTATCTAGGATAAATTTCATGCACTTTATAGAGATGGTCACATGACTTGTTGGTTTGCCATGTTATCATCTCTCAAATGAAAGTAACACCTTGAATACTAATATTGCTGTAAATAATGTAAAATACATAAATGTAAATTATTCCAAATATGATTGTGCCTCATTCTCTACTTATGTTAAAGGGAATTTGAGTTGGTTTGTGGAATGAAAACAATAATTGTACTGTATGTGTGTATTTCAAATGGATGTTTTGAACAGCTTTTTTAAATCTATCCTTAGCTACAAGTTGGTATGCTTGTTTTAAACCAGTTATCAGAAGAAATGCTAATCTCCCTCTGTATACCTTTGTTTTTAGGCATGTTGCCTCTCCTTGGATCTTCTACCTCTGATTCTGAAGAAGAACCAGAAGAGATGAGCATGAAACTTCAAATTATGAAAGGTGAATGAAAAAATGCTGTTAAATTGACTTTGATGGTAAAACTAAACCAAGAATGCTTTTAAATACATATAGTTCTCATTCAAAATATTTTTTTGGAAAGGAAATTACACCCAATGTAGTTTTCCGTCACTCTGTGTTTTGCTATAAGAGAATATTAAGATAGTAGAGGCTAGGTTGGTGAAACAGTGTTTAATGATAGACTTAGTTTTTTCAGTGTTGATCTTAAATTATGCCTTAAAAAACTGACTGTGATGTAGTTTAGATAGATTTTGTACATCAAATACAATCAGTTAATGGCATGTTGGTTTGAGCTGTTATCATGTTGCCATTAAAAGTAACACCATGAATTCCTCTTTGTACTTTTCCCCTTAAGGTTGACTCCCATTACTGTGGACACTCATGGGGGGAGATTTAGTGTCTGTAGTAGCAAAAAGTTTGTAATAATGGGGTACAAGAGAAATAAACATTTGTTTTCTTTCTTAACATATGAAATAAAGTTTCCACAAACTGGAAAAAGATCTGGCTGTAAGGAGAAAATTTCATATGTTCACACCCAATTGAAGAATGGTTTCTTTACTTCTCTTTTTCTAATGTTGGTTCAAAGTATGCTAGTCATGATTTTGAACAAAGTAAATAACTGTCTGTTATAGAAAGAGAAAAAACAAGTGAAAAGTCATGCTGGGGGGCAGGAAAGAGTCTGCATTATCACAATAGCAAGAGCTTGTTATAGAGGGAATTTATTTCAGTCATTTTTGTATGTGTTTCTCTAGGGGCTGGCTCTTGTCTGCAGTGGCAAGGTGTCTGTTATAGTGAGGTGACCACAGGGCTAGAGTCAACTGTAGATTAATCCAAATTTGGCATTGTCATTTCCTTTCTGTCTGGTTGTATTTATCTTTGGCTCCAAATATAAATAAAATAAAACAAGCTAAAATAAAAATTGGCAAGATTTTAGTTGAAGGAACTATAAAAGAAAGTGTTACCTGTATTTGTGAGTGGGGTTTTTATTAAAAATGATTTGAGGTGTGTTGTATGGTTTTGAATGTCAGTATTTAGTGGTTGCCTCATTATTTGTTTTCTTTTAAATCTGATTTTAGGTGCCTCATCTTCTGTATTCCACTCCATCAGTTCAACCAGTAAAAGTCCACAAAAACAAGAAGAGCTGAAAAAATGGAAACAGAAGACAAAGATTGTTGAGACAGAGAAAATGAAAGGTGAAAAAAAATTTAAAGACATATTACGTTGTTAAGGAAAGTTGTTGTGAACAGTAATAACAATTTATTATTTGACAAAGCTTTGAAGAATATAATTTTCTGTTTGCACAGGTATACCTGTTGTTATCTTTTCTGTGTAAAGTAAGACTGAATTTTGAAAAGTTCTGTATACCTTTGCTCCCAGGTTCTTCATCTCCCCCTCTTCTTCCAACCACTGATTTTGAAGAAAAGCTGGGGAGAATATGTGAGGACCTTAAGATGCTTAGAGTGGAAGGTGAATAGAAAAATTCATATCTTGTCATTTTTAGGGAGAGAGAGTGATCCAAGAATGCTATTAACTGTCCATAAAGTTTGCTTAGGTTTAAAATGAGCTAACATATTAAATAGGTAAATATCAAGCATTTTCAACACTAGGTCATCATCACCCTGATGATGACTTAGTGTTGACAATGTTTGGTTTTTATTACTTTTTTAAAATATTTTAGCTATGTAATTAAATAGCTCAATGTCTTTAAATATTTTCACCTTTGTTTCCTAGTAAATACTTCCAAGAGAAATTATTCCTTTTCTGAGATATTAACCTTTTCCTGTCTTTATTTTCATCCAAGAATACTGTTAAATGCTCTCAGCTTTTATTCAGTAACTTAGTTCAGTTAAGGAACATATTTTCAATTCAGTTTTGCCACTTAATCCATAGTTTCAGTCAAAGGTAGAATTGAATTGGCTTTGGCATGTGATAATGAAACAATACTTAAAGATAGCT